CCCAAATATTGACGAGCGCCTAATTTCACCGCTTCGTGACATTTTTTATCAAGTGGATGTAAATGGCGTCACGTGTGTGTGTGTGTGTGTGTGTGGGGGGGGGGGGGGGGCGTAAAGACACCTACTTTGGAATACCTGTATTTAAAATAGTTATAATTATCGGTTTAAGTCGTGGCCAGTTAGATTTTCTTTCCTGGATGGGAAAGAAGCTGCCATCTTGGCACACGGCGTCCGAATCCAACTCAATTCGACGGTGACCTCAAAATCAAACGAGTTTGGTTTTCAAGGTCACAAATCCAGCCAGGCGTAACTTGTCAAACAAGAACATAGCATCATCATCATCATCATCATCGTCATCATCATCTTCAACAACAACAACAACAGCAACAGCAGCAGCGACATTTACAACAACAATAGCAGCAGCGACATTAACAACAACAAGAACAACAACCACAACAACGACAACAACAACAACAACAACAACAACAGCAGCAGCAACAACAACAACAGTAGCAGCAACAGCAACAGCAGCAGCAGTAACAGCAACAAAAACAACAGCAACAACAACAAAACCCACTTTACACGTCAACCCTCCTCAAAGAAAAACAGCAACATTTCAAAGGAATCGGAACTCGAATACTGGTCTATTTTTTGTAGGTACTTGTATTGTTAATCTTTATAACAGAGTCACTTCTTAGTGTCCTAAAGGCAAACATGAGAAATTAATCTTCATTGCTGAAAGGCCCTTTCTACTAGTGTACTGACTCGTGACTGTCATCGTTCAAGCTTTATGAGAAGGCCTACATTCTCGCTGAATACCTGGCCATTGTAACTATGGCCGCCAAGTTCGCGTTGGTCGGAGATAAAGATGTTAGCTAGTGAATTGCCTGAATGGTTCAGCAGCTCTGAGATTGAGCTTTGGTTCTGGTTTGGTGGTATCTGAAGTTCGCACATTATTGGTTCTTTTGTTTCGGGAATCGTTCGCCGTCTGGTCTAAGCGGCGAGACCTATTCTCTAGGCGCGGTTGGCTGCCATTTGGCGCTAGGTAATTGGGATGTAGAATTAATGATATATTTTTATTGCTGTGGCCCTACTGCCATATGAGTGGGGAGGGCTACGGGGGGAGGGGTGGAGAGAAAAAAAAGAAAGAGAGAGAGAGAGAGAGAGAGAGAGAGGGAGAGGGAGAGGGAGAAAG